TGAAAACCGAGCTTAATTGACCAATATCGTTTATTTTTGTGTAAGCGGGCGATACCTCTAAACACTATGTGTCCATCTTTGATTATTTAAATATACTTTGACTTTTGTCATGAGTGGGTCAATATTGTCCATTTCATATCGGACCGAAACAAATACAATATAAATATTACGACGTGCCAGGTTTGGTCTATATTGGTAACTTCATCATAAAATCTATATTCATCCCAAGTTTCTGGTTGAGGGAAATATTTAGATATAGCAAATTGTAAAGAATCGCTGACTGGTTTCGTAAGTTATGACAGATAAAAGTATTGAAAATTGTGATCCTTTGTGGGTGAGGTACCAGAAGGGGTTCGCAGCTATATATCCTTTTTACAACTGATCTTGTGTTAGCAAAAATGTTTGTATGTGTAAAATTTGAAGAGAATTGAATGCTTATTTAGCTTACTTTGAGCATTTGGTTTGGAAATGGTCCGATCTCTACTATCTTTATAACAGATCTTGTGTTGATGGACATATTTAGAAATGCCAAGTCTAAATGGAATCGGATGTTAATTTCGTGTTTTATAAGCTTCATAAATATTCAAAATTTTGACCCTTTGTGGGGGAGGTACCCGAAGGAGTCGACCGATATAGTCCATCTTCACTCCATACCTTGGATTAATAAAAATATTGTGATGTGTGTGATTTGAAGACAATCGGACTCTTACACCATATTTTTAAGAGCTATAATTATTTTTTTTGACCCTTTGTGGGGGAGGTGCTTAATGCAGTAGACCGATATTGTCCATTTTCACACCTGACCTAACACTGATGCAAATATTTGGATTTGCAAAATTAAAGCAAAATCGGATTACTCTTTCTCTTAAATTTTATTTCTTTGACAATGTTGACATTTTGTGGGGTAGAAGTGGACCAAAATTGTCCATCTCCGAACTCGGTTTAAGTTGGACAATAATGTTACGATGTACCAAGTTTGGATCCAATAGGATACTTCCTTCGACAGTTATCGGGCGCACCAGCCAGACAAACAGACGGACATCGCTAGATCGTCTCCAAATGTCCTGAAACGGATTTGGTCCAAAGAGACGTAGGGTGTAAAACCGTTATTTTTTATGAGCCACGTTTTGTAGCCATATGGCTGAGGGAATGTGGCGTAAATATGAAATATATCGGATCACTCCTTCTTGTGCCTCTCCCACAAAAGGTCAACATTTTGGTTAGTTATAACCCTTATAACATGCGAAACAAGTCAGCGATTCTCTTTAAACTAAATATATGGTAATGTTTGACTTTTGAGACCTACAACCCAAGGTCAAAATTTAATAAGTTAAGTGTCATAAAACTAAAAGTAATTATTCGTTGTTTCTTCTAACATCGCATAATGCAATACCTTCTTCGAAATTAGTTCTAGTCGGAATATAGAACTTATCGCCCCATTGTTCCAGGTACCTCCCCCAGAAATGTTAAAATAATAATATTTTTAATATGTAAATATGGGAAATGACTGGTCCACTTCTACAGGGAAAATTTTTTGATTACCAACAAACCGGAAATAGGTAATTATTGGACATCCCAATATTCAATTTTCAGTATTTTTAATTCATCGCCTCTTTCTGCTACCTCCTCCAAAATAACAAAAATTTCCAAAACATTTTCAGATTTAGGTCATATGCGAAATTGGTATCATCTCAATAAAGCGTAAACATTTTGAATGATTTGGTACCACTTTGTTTTTCACGTATAATTATAGTACACATATCCAAAACCACCTCCAAATCTTAATCATAGACACCAACAGTGACATCCATATCAGGATTTCAATTCTGTACCTTCACCCAATACCAAATATAGTACCATTCAGTACAATTATAGAATATATTTACGACAACACCTCGATATGTCCAGGCTTTACATGTACAGCGACATATCTCCAATATTCCAATATTTTGACTATTGAAATTCATTACCTACTTCTACCGATCTACAATTAAATACAATTGGATTTTTCCCACACCCTGATCTTGAAATGTAATTCTTTTTGTAATTCTTCAAAATCGACCGACTCATTCATAATCTATCAACGAACTCAGTCTCGTAAATTCCCTTTAATCATTTGCAATCAAGAAATTCTCACGCATTCAAGATTTGAGTAATTGTTTGTGTGATTCACAATTGTTTGCAACGCCTTGTCAGATTACACACATGTCTATGCATATATATTTACTCATATTTACACAGAAGATTAAATAAATAAATCAAGTTCAAATCATAGTGTTGTATTTTATTTAAGTTTAGGTTTGGTTGACGTTTGTATTTCAAGTTCGTAATGGTTTCTTCAGCTTATGACAAAAAATTGCCTATGCGAGTCCACGTCTCCGTATAGCCTTCATATAACGATACCTCACAATATTCGGTATTTTGATAATTTAGCGACATTATTCGCCGGAATGGCTTCAAATTTTGTATTTGAATTTTGTAATGGATACTTCAAGCTATGACATAAAATTGTCTATGCAGGTTCAAGTCTTCGTTTATCCCATATATAATGGTACCTCCCTTCTTTCGGCGTTTTGATGAAATCACTATTATTTAACGAAATTTTTTTAAATGTCGGTCCTAATGCAGGTATTTCTTAAGTTTTTCAAGTTTCTTTCAAATGGCGTAGGGTATTTAAAGATCGACCTGGCCGAACTTAGGTGCTTTTTATATCCTCAACCATATGGCCAGAGAGAGTATATATCAATTGATACGCCCAAAACATTCCTCTTTGAAATAACTGTTTTGGGAAAGACCTAGGCTCTTTGGACCAAATCCATTTTGAGATACTTGAAGTCGATCTAGCGATGTCCGTCCGTACGTCCGCCCGTTTGGCTGGTTTGTGCGCACGATAACTCTCGAAGGGAGTATCCGATTCGATCTAAACTTGGTTCATCGTCATATTATTGTCGAACTTAGGTCGACTTCGAAGATGGGAAGTATCGGTCCACTCCTTCTGGTATCACCCCCACAAAAGATCGATCGGAGGAGAAAGGATAATTTTATATTTAATATTTGCATTAGTGCTGGATCAGGTGCGAAAATGGACAATATCGGTCAACTTCATCAAGTACCTCCCCCACAAGGGGTCAACATTTTGAATAATTATAACTCTTATGAAATATGATGTAAAAGTCCGATTGTTTTCAAATTACATACATCATAATATTTTTATTAACCTAAAATCTGATGTGAAGATGGTATATATAGGTCCACTCCTTCTGGTACCTTTCCCACAAAGTGTAAAAATTTTGAATATCCATGAAGCAGATAAAACTGGGAATTAACATCCGATTACATTCAGACTTGGTACATCTTAATATTTCTATCAACAAAAGGTCTCTAAGATGGTAGAGATCGGACCATTCCTTCCTTTGAATAACTAAAACTATTATAAAATCGAAAATAAGCATCCGGTTCTCCTTATATTGCATTCATCTCATTATTTCTACTAACACAAGATCTGCTGTGAATATTGGATGTATCGGTCAACTCCTTCTGGTATCTTTCCCACAAAGGGTCAAAATTTTGAATATCTACGAAGCTCATAAAACGCGAAATTAACATCTGATTCTATTTAGACTTGGCACATCTCAATATTTTCATCAACAAAAATTTTTTTTATAGAAATGACAGAGATCGGACCATTCCCTCTTGTAACTTCCCCTACATATGGTTCAAGATTTTGAAAAACAAAACGCTCAAAGAAATCGAAATAAGCATCCAACTATCTTCAAATTTCAAACATATATCATATTTATTTACCAACTCCATAAAGGGTCGACAATTTGGAAAATCATAACAGAAGACAAACTATAAATAATCGATTACTGGCTGAGGGTATACATCTGACGGCAAAACCAACAGATACTTTTTAACTTGTTTTAATTGAAAATGACGAGAAAGGTGTTAAAACACAATCGAAACTGAATTTGATGTATATTGGCAGTTTGTGTTCCCAATAAGTCGAAAATATCCTTGCAGAGAACTGCCTAAATACGCCCAAGTTTTGATATCTGATATTTTGATGATTTCCCAAATGTTCAAGATTATTCAAGTTTCTTTTAACTATATTCCCATCGCCAGGTTATTTTCCTTTAGTCCTTTAGTATTAGTTCATGTTTTGGTAAGGGCGTCATATTACCATTGCCTTGCAACTTTAGGTATTTTGAACAATTTACCACGATTTAGTGCAATTTGTTATGAGCTTTGCATAATGTTCCCCTGTTGTCTTAAAATTGCCACCAACTTTCTATACGTGTTATCTTGTTATTATAAGTCTCTATTCTGTTAAATAGTTAATTGCCTGCTGAAGTTCTCTTAATTGCTTACCTTATTAAGTTGTGTTCCAGAACCTGCAAATTAGTACTAATTAGCACTAATTCTGCTACAACGCGTTCCCGTACTCCAAAAACTAGCCAAACTTGCAGCTCTCTCGAGCAGAAATGTGCATATTGTAAATTTGACATTTAATTGGCAGGGCTAACAAGGTTGAAAAATGTATTGATACATTTCAATAAAGAAAATGATCAACTTGAAAACTAAAGGAAAAACTAATATTTGTCGTGCAAAAAACAAAAAGAGCAACTGATGTATTCACTTTTGGATGATTCCAGCAGTGAAGAGGACTGGCGGAATGAGGAATCAGATTATTAATTATTATTATAAATTATTAATTTTAACTTATCGTCTTCAATACTCATTTTTTAAATGTTGGCGCTCTTTTCAGTAAGGTTTCACCAGTCCGATTTAGGCTGTTTACTTTTGGAATTTTGAATTTTGAGATTTTATCGCATTTCTGCTAATTTTCCGTTCCCTTACTTTTTGAGCAAACCTAAATGAGAATGACATTTCGTACTGTTCTCTCTTCTGCTAGTTTTACTACTAAAAAAGTACTGGAACACAACTTTAGTTAGCATTTCATTTGCATTTCTCTCTCTCTCCCAAACAACATTCATTCAGTCATTCATTCATGTATTTATTTTCTTGTTCTCCCATCGCAATTGCCACTGTCATATTCTCATCATCATCATCGGCGAAGTTCCAAAACAAAGACACAGCAATGAGAATTTGAATAAATTGCAAATAAATAATGACAATTAAGACGCATTAGATGCCAAGTCATAGTGTCTCAGAGACGGAGCGTCAAAAATGTGAGCTGATGGATTACATCACATTAGCGGCGGCATGTCAAGACTCCTCACATTCCAGACGTAATAGATGCGCGCAAAAAACACACAACAACTACGAGAAAACAAAACAAATAACACAACTACTCAAATCGAACTGAGCTTCAATTGACAGCTAACGGCTATTCGTTGTTTTGTTGTTGTTTTTTGTAATTTGAGTGTCAATACAGAGATATTGACAATTGTTAAACTCACATGCCGCCTTGCGCCGCTCCACCTATGGCCCAGCTGCTACTGCATTTTCTGTTTTGTTAAGAAACAAAAAAAAAAAAAAACTAATAAAAAATCTTAATTAATGTTAACGACATTAGTAACCCCAACAACATTTTTTGTTGTTTGATTTCAAACAACGATTGTAAAGACAGAGTGAAAGCATTTATACAGCGTTAACCCCAAATTGCAACCGGCTGGCCATTCAGTCATTCATTGATGCTCCACCATTCGTAGACTGCCAATATTCAACAATGAAATGACCCACTCGGCCATTATAAATTAATTACAACATTTAATAGACATTAACAGATTCCAAAGCAATTGGAATAAATGTTTGCAGGGCGATATAGAAACTGAGTGGAAGGAAAGGTATTGTTTTTGAGTTCGTCACAAAAAAATGCATAAAAAACCAGTAAAGAAAGTCTTAAAGTCGGTCGGAACCGACTTTATGATACCCTACACCACTTTGCTAATTTAGTAGAGCTCCACATAAGAATTATAAGTTTTTATTGGAGGATTCAATCATACAAGCCATGATTATAATTATAATTTAAAGTTCAAAAGACTAAATATGCCGAAGTATTTGTATCTTTTAAATTCGGACTTGTATTGTCCATTTGATATATTTGAGAGCTATATCCAAATCTGAACCGATCTTAATAAAATTTGACAAAGATATTTCTGAGCTGTATTTCATATATTTCCCTGAATATCGTTGTTACGGAGCGCATATTACGGCTGTGGGTAACAAATATAACAAATCGGATGAACAATATATATGGGAGCTATAGCTATATCTGAACCGATCTTCACCAAATTTTACATGCTAGCTTCTAGACTCAATTCGGTCGTAAGTGCCAAATTTCATCCAATTTGGGCAAATATTAGACGTTTGGTGCACAATAAAAGGTAAATCGGAAGAAGTTATATATTGGAGATATATCCAAATCCGAGCCGATACTGATAAAATTTAGCAAAGGTATTTCTGAGCTGTATTTAATATATTTCCCCAAATATTGTTGTTGCAGAGTGCAGTTTATGGCTGCGGAGGACTAAAATAAGAAATGGGATGAACAATATATATTGGAGCAATAGCTATATCTGAACCGATTTCGATCAAATTTGGCATACTTATTTTCAGGACTAATTTGGTTGTATGTGCAAAATTCCATACTATTCGGGCAGATATTACACGTTTGACAAGTCGGAAATTACACGCAAAACAAGTCGGAAATAGCGTCAAATTTTAGAATAAGTTTAGAATTGTTCGAATTGGTCACCTTTGGCACGAATTATGGCCTTCAAATGGCCAACGAAACCGACACGCGCTGCCCGAATGTTGCTCTGCGGTATTTGGGCCCATTCTCGGCGAAGTGCTTGCTTGAGGTCGACTCTTTGGCACTTTTTAGTGCTTACCTTGCTTTCAAAAATTCTCCAGACACAATAGTCCAACAGGTTGGTATCCGGAGACTTTTGTGGCCATTGTGCGTTGGAAATGAAGCGAGGAATCTCATTTTGTAACCATTCTTGGATGGCGCGTGCTGAGTTCGATGGTGCTGAGTCCTTTTGGAATGTCCAAGGTCTAAGGCTTTAATACACCCTCCAAAATATTTTCGCGATAATATTTGGCATTTATTCTTTTCGAACCATTTCTGCTGATGTTGTTGTTTTCTTCCGTCCACTTCCTTGACGTCGGTCTACTCTACCAGTATCACGGTAACGAGCGATGGTACGAAACACAAAAGATGTATTCACATTTAAATGCTGGAGTGCTCTAACGAAAACCACTTGTGGTTTTCCAGCCAAATATGAAGAAATCACACTACCACCCTTGAATTCCATCACGAATAACTTTATTTGTGGAAAATTCTCACCAAAATGCTTTTGTACGCTTGTAAACAATATAATGAGCTGTCATTCGAATAATTTTAATAGCTGTCGAACGAGTGGCTTAAAAAGGACAGCAGTCTGATGTTGGTGGCAGTTTTTTCATCTCTCCCTGTATACATATGATCGACAGACCATTAAGGTATCCCACAGTTATTATGGTCTCCTTTATGTACATATTGAGACCCATATACCTTTTTTTCTTCGATCATTTATATTAACAACCTGTAAAGTACCTATGCCAGAAAATAAAACCCTCTTATGTGTGTTCGGCCTAAAGAGTCTTCTCGAAGGACTTTTATAATTCTTACATTTTTTAGAGTTACATATTTTTAAGATCATAAGAACTCAAAATTTAACTATGCGCTTTCGGTTCATTTTTACCTTTACATTTTCAAACCAGTGTAGACCTCTTGTTATTATTAGTCGCGAACGCATGCTAAATTGCAATTGTTTTCAAATTTTCAGATAAATTGAATAACAAAAGCCACTCCGTCCATCAAAACAGCTATTTGCATAGATTTCCCAATGACCGTGTGAAAGGGGTTAATATGAGGTCATTTATCAAAAAACAAAAAAAAAAAAAACGAATTTGGTGGGGAACAATAATTTCGAAACTCAAAGACAAAGACGACCTAAAGATTTTACAATTCTTCTGATTTTGTCGACATAGTGGTAAGGGTTATGTCTTCGTGCATTTGTTTGTAACATGGAGAAGGAAGCGAGATAGACCCATAGTTACATGTATTCTTATGAACAAAATGCAGGTCGTAATTTATAACAATATTTGTTTGGTCCAAGGACGAGTCCTAGTGAAATTGGTGATAATCGGATCAGATTAAGATATAGCTTCCATATATATTTTCAACCGATTTTGGGTTAATTGTGCACCAAATAGCCAATATAAGTCCAAATGACCTGAATTTTGGTACGTCCCACCGAATTAAGTCTAGAAGTAAGTACATCAAATCTGGAGAAAATATATTCGGATACAGCTATAGCTCCCATATATATGTTTTATCCGATTTGGAGTTTTAAGTCCCTCACGTGTGTAATGTGCACTCCACAAGAATGATATTTGGTACCGGACATCACATACTGCTCGAAAATACCTCTGTCAAATTTTATCAAGATCGGTACAGATTTGGATATAGCTCCCATACATATTTTCAATCGATTTCGGGTTAATTGTGCACCAAATGGCCAATATCAGTCCAAATGACCTGAATTTTGGTACATCCAGCCGAATTCAGTCTAGAAGCAAGTGCATCGAATTCGGAGAAAATCGGTTCAGATATAGTTATAACTGCCATATATATGTTTCATACGATTTGGTGTTTAAGTCCCTCATATTAATTGTCCATCCTACCGAATTCAGTCTAGAAGCAAGTACATATAATTTGGAGAAAATCGGTACAGATATAGCTCCTATTCCTCACATTCGTAATATGCATTCGACAACAATGATATTTGGTACCAGATATCTTGTAGAGCTCGGAAATACATCTGCCAAATTGTATCGAAAACGCCAAAGATCTGGATGTAGCTCCCATATATATTCTCCATTCGATTTCAGGTTTATTGTGCAAATATTGCCTAATATCAGCCAAAATGGAGTGAATTTCGGGACGTAAGTTTCTATTTTGTGGAACTCGGAGCCGATATATTTTTATACCCTACACCACTGGGTGGTCAGGGTATTATGTCTTTGTACATTTGTTTGTAACAGGCAAAAGGAAACGAGATAGACCCATACTTCCGTTTGATGATCTGCAAAGAATCACTTTCTGAGTTGATTTATGCATGTCAGTCCGTCTGTCCGTCCATCTGCCCGTCTGTCCATATATTTTTGTAAACAAAGTACATTTCGCATTTATTGCCCTATCCAGATGAAACTTTGCACAAAACATTTGTTTGGCCCAAGGACGAACCCTATTGAAATTTGAGATAATCGGTCAAAATTTAGATATAGCTCCCATATATATCTGCTACCGATTTGCCTTTTATTGTGCACCAAACGTGTGATATCAACCCGAATAGTATGGAATTTTTCACATACAACCAAATTAGGCCTGAAAATAAGTATGCCAAATTTGATCGAAATCGGTTCAGATGTAGCTATAGCTCCCATTTTTCATCCGATTTGTTATTTTTGTCCTCCGCAGCCGTAATATGCACTCTGTAACAACAATATTTGGGGAAATATATCAAATACAGCTCAGAAATACCTTTGCTAAATTTCATCGAGATCGGTTCAGATTTGGATATAGCTCCCATATATATCTTCGTCCGATTTACCTTTTATTGTGCACCAGACATCTAATATTTGCCCAAATGGGATGGAATTTGGCACATACGACCGAATTGAGTCTAGAAGGTAGTATGCCAAATTTGGTGAAGATCGGTTCAGATATAGCTATAGCTCCCATATATATTGTTCATTCGATTTGTCATATTTGTTGCCCACAGCCGTAATATGCACTCCGTAACAACGATATTCAGGGAAATATATCAAATACAACTTAGAAATATCTTTGCCAAATTTTATCGAGATCGGTTCAGATTTGGATATAGTTCCCATATATATTTTTATCCGATTTCAAATTAATTTCGCACCAAATGGGCAATACAAGTCCGAATTTATAAGGTACAAATGCTTCGGCATATTTAGTCCTTTGAATTTTAAATTATAATTATAATCATAGGGTGTATGATTGAATTCTCCCATGGAAACTTTTAATTGTTATGTGGAGCTCTACTAAATTAGCAAAGTGGTGTAGGGTATCATAAAGTCGGCCCCGCCTGACTTTAGGACTTTCTCTACTGGTTTTGAATATAATCCTTCTCGAAATTATGACAGGTACTCTATAGCAATGCTATTTTGTGTAAAAGATAAAAATATCTCCCTCCAATTTAGTGAAAATCGATTCAGAATTGGATATGCCTCCCATATATTAGTTTCCTCTGAAACCGAACTATAACTGCCCTAAAGCCAAATGTGGATAGGTGATATGATCTACTTCTAATAAATTCTTTTGTTACGGGAGCTCTACTAAATATGCATAGTGGTATAGGGTATCATATAGTCGGTCCCGCCCGACTTTTGACTTTTCCTTCCTAATTGGCAATAACTTTTTATTATTCAAATTTCGTTAAGTATTGTTTTTATCGACTTTTTTGAAACTTGCGGCCAAAAAGTCAACATATATCTAAAACAAAAGTGGAATAACGAATTTCTAATCGATTTCTCCTCAATTTTCGCCATTTTAGGTCACAGGTGGTGGCAGCGGCTTGGGACGAGAAATTGCACTGGAACTGGCGCGCAAAGGCTGCAAACTGGCCGTGGTCGATGTTAACTCCAAAGGATGCTATGAAACCGTTGACATGATTGCAAAAATTCCCCACAGTGTTGCCAAAGCTTATAAGGTTTGTAGAGATTCTTGTCACTCCAATTGGATTACCCTTTATTTGAAAAGATAATCCCAAACATAATTATTGCAACATTTGTTTTGCTCTTTTTTTTGTGTCTTTTTTCGGTCCCTTCAGACTGATGTCTCATCGGCCCGCGAATTGCAATTGATGGCCATTAAAATCGAAAAGGAATTGGGACCGGTGGACATTCTAGTTAACAATGCCTCATTGATGCCAATGACATCGACACCGCAACTGAAGAGTGACGAAATCGAAAAAATCATCACCGTTAATTTGGGCTCTTACATTATGGTATGTGATTTTTATGGCATTTTTCGCCACCCCCCTCTGATTTCATTTGCATAAGAATATGCGAATGACTGGTGGATAGGCTGGTCTGGTGGCCAGTAAAATAATGGGGTTTCCAATTAATAATGAAAGAATTTTTTGGTTATTTTTTTAAATATTTATTTTTATGTCTGCTGTATGTTCTTTTCGATGGCTTCCCATTCTTTTTCTTCTCCTGGCTGGACTTGGATATGAATAGACTACCAAGGAATTCTTACCGAAAATGGTTCAACGTCAATCTGGCCATGTTGTTGCCGTAGCTGCATTGTCTGGTAAGTTATTGAAGGCAAATAATTTCGTGTCTTTTGTCTTGAATTAAGGGGGGAGGGGGGTTTCAAATACCCGGTTGGGTTGGGATTATTAAAAAAAAGGAAGGTAATTTTTCTGCATAAGTTGCGGTTGTAATGATTCAGTATTTATTGGCGTATTTATGAATGCAGTGACAAATGATTGGAAATGTATGAAAGGAAACAGAGGGGTTTTTTAAGATATACAGGGTGAGATGAAAAAACGTCAACTAACTTCAGACTACTGTCATTTCTAAGCCATACGTCTGACAGCTGTTAAAATTATTCCAGTGACAGCTCATTATATTGTTTTAAGGCATACAAACGCTTTTTGGTGAGAATTATCCAAAAAAAGTTATTCGCTATGGAATTCAAGAATGATGGTGAGATTCCTTTATATTTGGCCGGAAAACCACCAAACAGCAACATCAGAAGAAATGGTTCGAAAAGTAAAGAAGCGACATGATCCAAACCCGCATCGAAGTGGTCGAAAAATGGCTCGTGAGCTGAACATATCGCAATATTCCATTCGGCAAATATTGAAAAATGAGCTCGGGGTAAAGCCATTGAAATTCCAAAAAGTGGAAGAACTTACACCGCAACAGAAAGAAAATAGACTCAAAAGAGGTAAAGAGATGTCCGTCTGTCTGTCCGTCCGTCTGTCTGTTGTAATCACTCTATCTTTCGAACGAATTGAGATGGAAGGCTAAAATTTTGCACACATGCTTATTTTTCCTGTAAGTTCGTAAATGGGGTATGTAGGTCTACGTTTTCATATGGCCCCCATATAACGGTACCTCCCGTTATTCGGGATTTTGATTATGTTAGCGACATTTTTAACCGGAATTGTTTCAAATTTGGTATTTGAAGTTCGTAATGGATACTACAGGCTATGACAGAAAATTGTCTGTGCAGGTCCACGTCTTATATAACGGTACCTCCCGATATTCGGTATTTTCATGATTTTAGCGTCAATATTCACTGGAATTATTTCAGATTACGTATTTAGAGTTCGTAATGGATACTACAGTTTGTGACAGAAAATTGTCTATGCAGGTCCAGGTCTTCGTATAGGCCCCATATATCAGTACCTCCCTATTATCGGTATTTTGACGAGTTTAGGTACAATACCCAGCGAAATTGTTTGAGATGTCGTATTTGAAGTTCGTAATGGATGCTACAACCTGTGACAGAAAATTGTCTATGCTGGTCCAGGTTTTCGCTTAGCCCCGATATAATGATATTTTGATGATTTTAGCTACATTATTCAGCGTTTATGTCAAGTTTCGAATTTAAATATCTTAAAGGCTTATGACAAACAATGTCTATGTAGGTCCACGTCGTATAGACCCCAATATAACGGATTTTTTAAGGATTTTATTTTTTGAAAATTCCCAAATGGTGTTCCAAATGGTGGAGGGTATTCAAAGTTCGTCCCGGTCGAACTTGCTGCTTTCTAACTTGTTTGCTTTCATTCAATAAAATTTGAAAAAAATTGTAAAAATTATGGCGTTTGGCTTTGCTGCAGTTTTTTTTATCTCACCCTAATTCCATCTTCACACCAGACCGTAGGTTAATAAAAATATTGTGATGTGTGTAATTTGAAGACAATCGGACTCTTAAATCGTATTTTACAAGAATTACAATTATTCAAAATTTTGACCGTTTGTGGGGGAGGTACTTGATAGAGTTGACCGATTCATTTTTGTCCATTTTTGCGCCTGACATAGCACTGATGTAAATATTAGTATTTGCAACGTTGGAGCAAAATCGGATTATTCTCTCTCTTTCTATGCAGTAAAATTTTTCTTTGGAAATTTCCACCTTTTGTGTGGGAAATAGCAGAAGGAATGGACCGATATTGGCCAACTCCGAACTTGATATAAGTTTGATAACTATGTTACGATGTACCAAGTTTGGACCAAATCGAATACTCCCTTCAAGAGTTATCGTGCGCACCAGCCAGACAGACAGAAGGACGGACGGACGGTCATCGCTAGATCGACTCCAAATGTTCTGAATTGGATTTGGTGCAAAGGGACCTAGGGTCTAAAATCGTTATTTCGATGAGGCACGTTTTGGCCGTACCAAATGATATATACCAATTATAGCCATATTGCTGAGGAATATAATGATTCTAAAATTCCCCATGAGTTGAAATGTAAATGACCGATAAATTCTAGTTCCTCCCATCATTTACCTTGGCTCTCTTAAAAAAAATCCTTAAAAAAACTCTTTATTTTTTTTCAGGTCTGGTGCCTCTGCCGGGTGCTGGCATTTACACGGCCACAAAATATGGCATTATGGGTTTTATGGAAGCCTTAAGATGTGAATTACGTGAATCGAATTGTGATTTTATCCGGACCACAGTGGCCAATACGTATTTCATGAAGACTAGCGGTGATTTACATCTACTCAGCGATGCAGGGTAAGTTGAAGAAGTGAATGTATGAAAAAAAATTATCGAATGTACATAAATGCGTCCATATACAAATATGGATTTATGTATGAGTTGGTATTCCAAAGTGGTGACGAAGTATTAATCATCATAAGTTTGGTAGGGAACGAAAGGTGGTCAGGTTTGTTGAATTTTTAACAATTATTTTTCAAATAATTTTTAATAATACTCTTGTTAAGGATGCTGCTCTAAAACCAAGTGTTGATAAGTGGCATGATCCACTTCAAATAAATTATTTTGTTACGAAAGCTCTACTAAGTATGCATATTGGTGTAGGGTATCATATTGTCAGCCCCGCCCGACATTAGACTTTTCCTTACTAGTTTAATCCTCAAATATGGTTTTATTTGAGGATCAAACTAGTAAGGAAAAATGAAAAGTCGGGCGGGGCCGACCATATGATACCCCACACCAATATGCATACTTAGTAGAGCTTCCGTAACAAAATAATTTATTTGAAGTAGACCTATCAATACTTGGCTTTAGAGCAGCTATAGTTGGGTTTCACTAACACTTTCACTTAACAGAGACATTTTAATCTTTTATGTCAAATAACCTTGCTTTAGAATTCATGATCTAACTTCGAGAAGGATTTTATTTAAAAATATAAATATCGGAGCTGAGTTCACAAAATAGAAACGTACGTCCCGAAATGCACTCCATTTGGGCTAATATTAGCCATTATTTGTATAATAAACCTGAAATCGAATTAAGGATAGATATGGGAGCTATATCCAAATCTTAACCGATTTCGATAAAATTTGGCAAAGGTATTTCCGAGCTCTATTAGATTTCTGGAACCAAATATCATTGTTGTCGAATGTATATTACGAATGTGAGGGACTTTAACACAAATTGCATGAAACATATGTATGGGAGATATAGCTATATCTGAACTGGTTTTCTCCGAATTCTAGACCGAATTCGGTTGGATGTGCAAAAATTCAGGTCATTTGGACCGATATTGGCCATTTGGTGCACAATTAACCCGAAATCGGTTGATGTTAGGTATATATTTAAGCTATGTCCAAATCTGAACCGATCTTGATAAAATTTGGCAGAGGTATTTCTGAGCTCTTTAAGATATCTGGTACCAAATATGATTGTTGTCGAATGCATATTACGAATATGAGGGACTTAAACAACAAATCGGATGAAACATATATATAGGAGCTATAGCTATATCTGAACTGATTTTCTCCAAATTCGATGTACTTACTTCTAGACTGAATTCGGTTGGATGTGTAAAAATTCAGGTCATTTGGACCGATATTGGCCATTTGGTGCACAATTAATCCGAAATCTGTTGAAAATATGTATACAGGATAAGATGAAAAAAATGCAACCAATTTCAGACTGCTGTCATTTCTAAGCCACTCGTCCGACAGCTGTTAAAATTATTGCAGTGACAGGTCATTATATTGTTTACAAGCGTACAATTATTTTGGTGAGAATTCTTCAGAAAATAAGTTATTCGCAATGGAATTTAAGAGTGATAGTGTGATTTCTTTTTATTTGGCTGGAAAACCACAAGTGGCTATCGTTAGAGCACCCCGGCATTTAAATGTGAATAAATCTTTTGTGTCTCCTATCACCTCATTCGTTACCGTGGACGGAAGAAAGCAGCAACATCAGCAGAAATGGTTTGGAAAGTAAAGAAGCGACTTGATCGGAACCCGCGTCGCATTGGCTGGAAAATGGCTCGTGAGCTGATCGCATTACAATATTCCATTCGGCAAATATTGAAAAATGAGCTCGGGGCAGATCCACGAAATGATCGTGTTTACTTGCCAAAGAGGTCAGCTGAAAATGTGTACCTTCGGTTGGCCACCAGAACTCAAGCACCGCCATAACGGCAGCTCTCCACGCGTATTAATCGACCGTGGCATCACAATAAATGCCGAATATTATCGCGAAAATATTTAGTAGGGTATTTAAAGCCTTGGGCAGACAAACATTTTAGCCGCAGATTCAACACGCCGCGGATTCAACACGCGTCACCCTAGAATGTTTATAAAATGATGTTCCTCGCTTCATTTCCAGCGCACAATGGCCACCGAAATCTCCGGATACTAATCTGTTGGACTATTGTGTCTGGAGCACTTTGGAAAGCAAGGTTGGCACTAAAATAATACCAAAGTGTCGATCACCTCAAGCAAGCGCTTCGCCGGAAATGGGCCAAAATACCAAGGAGCAACATTCGGGCAGCGTGTGACAGTTTCTTTGGCCGTTTGAAGGCCATAATGAAATCGGATAAAGATATACATGGGAGCTATATCCAAATCGGAACCGATCTCGGTAAAATTTGGCAAAGATATTTGATATTTTTCCCTGAATATCGTTGTTACGGAATGCATATTACGGTTGTGGGTAACAAATATAACAAATCGGATGAACAATATATATGGGAGCTATAGCTATATCTGAACATATCTTCCCCAAATTTGACTCAATTTGGTCATAAGTGCCAAATTCCATCCCATTTGGGCAAATATTAGACGTTTGGTGCACAATAAAAAGTAAATCGGAGCAAGTTATATATGGGAGCTATATCCAAATCTGAACCGATCTCGATAAAATTTGGCAAAGATATTTCTGAGCTGTATTTGATAGATTTACCCAAATATTGTTGTTACAGAGTGCATATTACGGCTGCGGAGGACAAAAATAACAAATCGGATGAACAATATATATGGGAGCTATAGCTATATCTGAACCGATTTCGATAAAATTTGACATACTTATTTTCAGGCCTAATTTGGTTGTATGTGCGAAATTCCATACTATTCGGGCTGATATTACACGTTTGGTGCACAATAAAAGGCAAATCGGACGAAGATATATATGGGAGCTGTATCTAAATTTTGACCGATTATCTCCAATTTCAATAGGGTTCGTCCTTGGGCCAAACAAATGATTTGTGCAAAATGTCATCTTAATCGGATAATAAATGCGACCTGCATTTTGTTCACGAGAATACATGGACAGACGGACGGACGGACATACGGACTGACATGCATAAATCAACTCAGAAAGTGATTCTATAAAGATCCTCAAATGTAACTATGGGTCTATCTCGCTTCCTTCTCCATGTTACAAACAAATGCACGAAGACATAATACCCTTACCACTATGTGGTGTAGGCTATAAAAAGGGACAGTGTTTACGTGGGGTATGTTCAGTAAAAGCTACAGTAATGCTGCTCTCGCGTTTTTCACATTAACAGCAATGAATAATTATGAGTTTTGAATTTCCAATTCTATTCAATTATATCTTCAAGTACCACATCTAAATTCCTTAATCTGGTCACCTTTTTTCCGATAACTCTTTTATCCCCATTGTTGTCCTCTACTGTAGACAAACTTTGTGTGCTAACAAGAGATTAAGTTTAGTCGACCATTAAGCTTTTCGTGTAATTGATATGTTAATGATTTTTTATCGCTTTGATATACTTCGTTTCCTTTTTTTTTCAATATTTTCTACATTTTGTTTTTGTTCTGCACATGCTTATACCCGTATACCTACCAGTTGCTTCATATCCTTTTCCCCTTCTTTCTTTCAACAGCATCTCGAGTAGTTATCCTGGCTTACCCACAGCATATGTGGCCGAGAAAATTGTCCGTGGCATGCTGCTCAATGAGCGTATGGTGTACGTGCCGAAAATATTTGCATTAAGTGTCTGGTTGCTCAGGTAAGTAAAGGGGGGGGGGGGGAGCATACAAATAATTGAATGTGTGTGCATGGTGGCTTCATAGGTTTCGACCATCCAAAATAAGCAAGTGTGTTGCGGTGTTCTTTATACTACGCGGCCGCAGAGTAAGTGGAGTGTGGTATATGCCAAGGACACCAGTGTTGCAGCATAAGATCTTATAAGGAATGTACATTGGGATGGAACGATATTTGGATTAATTCAAGGCATTTGACAAATGTAATAAATTACTATTTTAAACTATATAAAAAAACAAGTTAAAAAGCAGTAAGTTCGGCCGGGCCGAACTTTGAATAACCTCCAACATTTGGTACGAATTTTGAAATTTTCAAAAAATGAAATCCTTAAAAAATTCTATTAAAATTTTAAAAAACCCGAATATAACCGTTATATTGTTGTCTATACGGCGTGGACCTACAGAGGAATTGTTTGTCATAAGCAATTACCAAATTCAAATTCGAAACTTGAAATAAACGGTGAATAATGTCGCTAAAATCATCAAAATATCGTATATAGGGAGATACCGTTACATCGGAGCTGTGCGAAGACCTGGACCAGCATAGACAATTTTCTGTCACAGGCTATAGCATCCATTACGAACTTCAAATACGACATCTCAAACAATTTCGGTGAGTATTGTGCCTAAACTTGTCAAAATACCGAATATAGGGAGGTACTGGTATATGGGGTCTATATGAAGACCTGGACCTGCATAGACGATTTTCTGGCATAGGCTGTAGTATCCATTACGAACTTCAAATACAAAATGTGAAATAATTCCGGTAAATAATGTCGCTAAAATCATCAAAATATCGAATATCGGGAGGTACAGATATATGGAGTCTACACGAAGACGAGAACCTGCACAGACAATTTTCTGCCTTAGGCTGTAGTATCCATTTCGAACTTCAAATACTAAATTTGAAACTATTCCGGTAAATAATGTCGCTAAAATCATCAAAATACCGAATAGAGAGCGGTACCATGGGGGTTTAAAACGTGGACCTGCACAGACGATTTTCTGCCATAGGATGCAGTATCCGTTACGAACTTTAAATACCAATTTTGAAACAATTCCGGTTAATAATGTCTCTAAAATCGTCAAAATACCCAATATCGGGAGGTACCATTATATGGGGGCTATACGAAAACGTGGACCTGCACAGACAATTTTCTGTCATAGGCTGTAGCATCCGTTACGAAATTCAAATTCCAAATTTGAAACAATTCCGGTGATTAATGTCGCTAAAATCATCAAAATACAGAATATCGGAAGGTATCGTTATGTGGGGGCTATATGAAACGGCCAATGAAACCGTCACATGCTGCTCGAATGTTGCTCTGCGGTATTTTGGCCCATTCCAAAATGTTTGCTCGCCCCAAGCTTTAATACACCTTCCAGAATATTTTCGCGATAATATTCGTCATTTATTCCACGGTCGATTAAAACGAGCGGAGAGCGACCATCTGCTGTTGTGGCGGCCCTCAGCATCACCATTGAGTTCTGGTGGCCAAACGAAGGTGTACATTGGTGCTGACCTCGTTGGCAAGTAAACACGATCGTTTTGTTTGTTTATAAACTGCTGGACAAGGAATGATTTTTTATCGGAGAAAAACAAATTGGGCAGTTCACTACTTTCGGCCAAGCGAAGCAACTCTTTAGCTCTTTTGAGCCTATTTTCATTCCGTTGCGGTGTAAGTCCTTTCTTTTCAATGGCATTCCCCCGAACTCATTTTGCAATATTTGCCGAATGGAATGTTGGGATATGTTCAGCTCGTGAGCCATTTTTCGGTCACTGTGACGCGGGTTTTGATCAAGTTGCTTCTTTACTTTTGAACTATTTCTGCTGATGTTGTTGTTTTCTTCCGTCCACTTCCTTGACGTTGGGCTACGCTACCAGTATCACGGTAACGAGCGATATGGTACGAGACACAAAAGATTTATTCACATTTAAATGCTGGAGTGCTCTAACGATAGCCACTTGTGGTTTTCCAGCCAAATATAAAGAAATCACACTATCACGCTTGAATTCAATCACGAATAATTTTTTATACCCTCCACCATAGTATGGAGGGAGTATATATTTTCTTGATCAGAAAAAAATTCTATGTCGATTTAACAATGTCCGTCCGTCTATCCGTCTCTAGCTTCCGGACGAAATGAAGTAGGTTGATAAAATTTTACTCAAATATGTATTACGTCTGCAGGACTTTTGGTATTGAAATTGGCCACTTCTTCGTATAGCCCCCATATAACGGTACCTTCCGATATTCGGTATTTTGATGATTTTGGCGACATTATATACCGGAATTATTTCAAATTTGGTATTTGAAGTTCGTACAGCCTATGGCAGAAACCCGCGTTTTATAACCCCCATGGGACCCCCCTATATTCGGTATTTTGAAGATTTTAGCTTCATTATAAACAGTTTTTTTTTTTCATGTTTCGCATTTGAATATTGTAATAGCTGGTGAAAAAAGTTGCCTATGAAGGTCCACGTCGTCGTATAGACCCTAATATATGGCTTCATTCGGTATTTTTAAGATTTTACCAGAATTTTTAAATGATTTTATTTTTTTTTTTTTTTTTGAAAATTATTAAATTTGTACCAAATGGTGGAGTGTATTCAAAGTTCGACCCGGCCGAACTTACAGCTTTTTTACTTGTTTCTGGAAAATTTTCACCAAAATGCTTTTGTACGCTTGTAAACAATATAATGAGCTGTCACTTGAATAACAGCTGTCGGACGAGTGGCTTAGAAATGACAGCAGCCTCAAGTTGGTTGCAGTTTTTTCATCTCACCCTGTTTAGCCTCTCTGGGGTATAAAAATCCATTTTATCAACAATGGCAGTAAAGTATACCACCTAATATACCACAGATCTGTACATCAGCGGAAAATGTTGTCTACTCATGTTGCATGTCGGTGGCATTTTTTGCAAAACTGTAGACTGTGCCACAAAACGCACACTCACTCCGAAATAATTTAATTAAATTAAACAAGAAATGAGACTGTTTTTCCATTTTTGGTTTGTTGTCTTTTCAATGCTGCGTTATGCGATTTCATTCAATTACACACACACACATTGTGTTTTTTGTTTGTGTTTTTTTTTTTCAAAATAATTAATTTTATTTATTTTCAATTCCAGATTGTTACCCACTAAATGGCAGGATTATATGCTGTTGCGTTTCTATAAATTCGATGGACGCAGTAAACATTTGTTCCTCTGGAAATGATGAAGTACTCCAATCCAAGAGGGAAGAGTCAAAATAAGGCAAAATCTCTTCAATAAATTTTTATGTGCCAAATTTCAAACAACAATTCCATCAATGGCCTTTGAAAAGGAGGGGAACACTAGAAACCGTACAAATGTCCAAAGGGATTTATCGAACATTTTTCCCCTTGCATGTGTCTACTCATTCCCCATTAATTTCGAATTTTTTTCTGGTCGAACATATATTATTAATAGAAATTTAATTTTTTTATATATAAAATATATTTTATATAAAAACACTGCTTTTATGTATGTATGTACAATTGAAATATATGTATGTATATATATTTTTTTAGTATTTATTGTAAGTATGTAATTTATTAAAATTAAGATGTTTTAAAAATAAAATTATTAACCACAATGCAAATGAGTCAGCTAACAGAAGGAACTTGAAATTTAAAAAAAAACGTATGACGATATCAGCCAGTTTTGCTGGACTATGCCTCAGGACTAGCTGTATTAAGATATTGAAATTTTTATAGAAATTTAAACTTAGGTCTTATAGAAATTTCATTGAAAATATTTTCGAATTGTCCGTTATGGAAACTCAACTACAAAAATGTGGCGAAATTAAATGGAAAATATCAGAAAAACTGAATAAAAACAAGTAAAGAAAGTCTTAAAGTCGGGCGGGGCTGACTTTATGATACCCTACACCACTTACCTAATTTAGTAGAGCTCCACATAACAATTAAAAGTTTTTATGGGAGAATTTAATCACACACGCTATGATTATAATTATAATTTAAAGTTCAAAGGACTAAATATGCCGAAGCATTTGTATATTTTAAATTCGGACTTGTATTGCCCATTTGGTGCACAATTAATATGAAATCGGATAAAGATATATATGGGAGCTATATCGGAACGGATCTCCATAAATTTTAGCAAAGATATTTCTGAGCTGTATTTGATATATTTCCCTGAATATCGTTGTTACGGAGTGCATATTACGGCTGTGGGTAACAAATCGGATAAACAGTATGTATGGGAGCTACAGCTAAATCTGAACCGATCTTCACCAAATTTGGCATACTAGCTTCAAGACTCAATTCGGTCGTATGTGCCAAATTCCATCCCATTTGGACAAGTATTAGACGTTTGGTGCACAATAAAATGTAAATCGGACGAAGTTATGTATGGGAGCTATATCCAAATCTGAACCGATCTCGATAAAATTTAGCAAAGATATTTCTGAGCTGTATTTGATATATTTCCCCAAATATTGTTGTTATAGAGTGCATATTACGGCTGCGGAGGACAAAAATAACAATCGGATGAACAATATATAAGGGAGCTGTTGGTTGTATGTGCAAAATTCCAGACTATTCGGGCTGATATTACACGTTTGGTGCACAATTAAAGGTAAATCGGACGAAGTTATGTATGGGAGATATATCTAAATTTTTACTGATTATCTCCAATGTCAATAGGGTTCGTCCATGGGCCAAACAAATGATTTGTGCAAAATTTCGTCTGGATAGGGAAATAAATGCGAACTGCACTTTGTTTACAAAAATACATGGACAGACGGACATGCATAAATCGACTCAGAATGTGGTTCTATGCAGATCATCAAAAGGAACTTTGGGTCTATCTCGTTTCCTTTTGCCTGTTACAAACAAATGCACAAACACATAATAGCCTGACCACCTTGTGGTGTAGGGTATAAATAGTGAAAAATCAGCCCTGAATGCCCTCCACCATTTGGAACGAATTTGGAAATTTTTTAAAAATATAAAATCCGTTTAAATTTCTGTTAAAATCTTAAAAATGCCGAATGTAACCGTTATATCAGGTTCTATACGACGACGTAAACCTGTATGGGCAATTTTTTTTTTATAAGTCATTACAATATTCAAATGCGGAATTTGAAAAAAAAGGGGGTGAATAATTTAGCTAAAATCATCAAAATACCAAATATCGGGAGATACAATTATATGGGGGTATAATTAGACGTGGACTTGCATACGAAATTTTTTGCCATAGGCAAAAGTAGCCATTAGGTTCTTCCAATGCGAGTTCGGAAACGATTCCGGTGAATAATGTTGCTGAAATCATCGAAATACCGAATATCTGGAGGGGGGCTATATGGGGGATATACAAAAACGTAGACCTGCATAGCCAATTTTCTGTCATAAGCCATAGTATTCATTATGAACTTTAAGTAGCAAATTTGGAACATTTCCGTTGAATAATATCGCTTAAATCACCAAAATACCGAAAATAGAGAGATACAATAATAACCCCCCTATACGTGGATGTATACAGCCCATTTTCAATACCAAAAGTCCTGCAGACCAAATATGCATTTGAGTAAAATTTTATCGACCTTCTTAATTTCGTTCGCAAGATAGAGTGATTTCCACAGACGGACGGCCATCGCTAAATAGACATAGAATTTTATACGGATCATGAATGTATACAGGGTGATATGGAAACAACTTCAACCAACTTCAGACTACTGTGATTTCTAAGCCACTCGACCAAGAGCTGTTAAAATCTTTCCAGTGACATCTCATTATATTGTTTACAAGCGTACAAAAGCATTTTGGTGAGATTTTCCAGAAAAAAAGTTATTCGTGATGGAATTCAAGCGTGATAGTGTGATTTCTTTATATTTGGCTGGAGAACCACAAGTGGCTATCGTTAGAGCACTCCAGCATTTAAATGTGAATGAATATTTTGTGTCTTGTACCATCGCTCGTTACCGTGATACTGGTAGCGTAGCCCGACGTCAAGAAAGTGGACGGAAGAAAACATCAGCACCAGCAGAAATGGTTCGAAAAATAGAGAAGCGACTTGATCGTCGCAGTGGCCGAAAAATGGCTCGTGAGCTGAACATATCGCAATATTCCATTCGGCATTTGAAATTCCAAGAAGTGCAAGAACTTACACCACAACAGAAAGAAAATAGACTCAAAAGAGCTAAAGAATTGCTTTGCTTGATCGAAAGTGGTGAACTACCGAATTTGGTTTTCTCCGATGAGAAGGCATTCGTTGTCCAGCAGTTTGTAAACAAACAAAATGATAGTGTTTACTTGCCAAAGAGGGCAGTTGAAAATGTTCACCTTCTGTTGGCCACCAGAACTTAAGCGTCGGCCATGGTGCTGGTGTGGGCCCCAGTAACAGACAGTGGTCGCTCTCCGCTCGTATTGATCGAACGAAATGCCGAATATTACCGCGAAAATATTCTGGAGCGTGTATTAAAGCCTTGGGCACGCAAACATTTTGGCCGCAAACAATGGACATTCTAACAGGACTCAGCACCATCGCACTTAGCACGCGCCACCCAAGAATGGTTACAAAATGAGGTTCCTCGCTTCATTTTCAGCGCACAATGGCCACCAAAATCTCCGGATACCAATCCGTGGGACTATTGTGTCTGGGGAATTTTGAAAAGTAAGGTTAGCACTAAAAAATACCAATGTGTCGATCACCGCAAGCAAGCGCATCGCCATGAGCCAAAATACCACAGAGCAACATTTGGGCAGCGTGTGACGGCTTAATTGTCCGTTTGAAGGCCACAAATCGTACCAAAGGTGACCAATTCGAACAAATCTAAAATTGTTCTAAAATTTGATGCTGTTTCCTATTTTTTGCCTTCTTTCAATTAATTTAAAAAAATGTAATTGCCAAATCTGAACTGATCTTGATAAAATTTGTCATCGGATGAATATTACGAATTTGAGGGACTTATACACCAAATCGGATAAAACATGTATATGGGATCTATAGCTATATCTGAACCGATTTTCACTAAATTTGATTTACTTGCTTCTAGATTGAATTTGGTCGGATATAGAAAAATTCAGGTCATTTGGACTGAGATTGGACATTTGGTGCACAATTCACACGAAATCGGTTGAAGATATATATGAGAGCTATATCCTACGGCTGTGTGATATATAATGCTCTAATTCAGCTTTAAACGCACGCCAATTAAATAAATCGGAAGGCCCTTTCATTTTCGATATCAATGGTCTGGCAGAATATAGCTATTCGAATCGTTATAATTTTTTTCAGAGTTTTTACGGGTGAGCTATTGAAGCCAATGATTTTTTTCATCTAGGCAGGCCTCCGTTGGTGCGAGATTCCCTGGAAATAAATACTACGGATATTGAATAGAATCTTGAATCGAACTTTAATTTCTGATATGATTCATACACAAATGTACATCTTCGTACGTTTTGTACGTAGGCTGCGGCTCATGTGCTGTTATCTAAAATAGCTGGAGACAACGCTATGCTGTGGGTCTATTGATAACTCTGCATATGCAGAACTAACTGGCAACAACATTGTTTGAAATTTCGAAAAAACAGTCTCCGTATTTACCATATTTGCTACTACATTTTGATAACAACAATTACTTCGTTTGAAGACATGCCAATTTGATTAGATTTTGTTGACAGAACATCATTTACTCAATATTTTGAAGTAAAAATATCGCGAATAAGTTTTGGGACAAGAAGTTTGCGAGTAGCATTGCTAGAGACAAGACCGATTTTTAATGTAAATTTATAAAAAGTGACAAAGAAAAAAAAAAAAAACAAATGTATTTAGACTTTGTTCCGATTTTTTTAAACTTGCTCATCATATTATGCTCCACATGGGCAGTAGAATTTCCGGAATGTGAAAATGTCACCGAGCCGGATACATTTGTTTCCAGTTATCGCAGTTGTGCGAAATATGTTTACTGCAGCGATGACGCTTCGTTCGAGGGCGAATGTTTGGGCGGTAACTATTTTAATCAGGCCCAAGGTGTCTGTGATGATCCGGAAAATGTGAAATGTGACATTGTGGCCGGTGCCGATGTTATCAGTATTTTCGATGATAAATATCAAATATTGGAAACGGATGTTGTTGGGAAAAATCAAAATCAAAATCACGAGGATGATGTGCTGGAAGAGACTAAGGAAACTGAAGATGAGTTAGAACTAGATACTGACGCTGAATCGGATGACGCTGAATCGGATGTTGAAGTGGAGGAGGAAATTGTGGAAAATTCAAATAATAATCAAGATCATGAACACATTACAATGTTCACAACGCAACATGAAGCAGCAACATGTTCTGGGGTTTCTTCCACTGCTGTCCGCCATATTCCGCATCGTGAATCCTGTTCGGCTTTCTTTACATGTTACAATGGCATGATTATTCCGATGCTATGTCCTCGATATTTATTTTTTAATTCGGAAACGGAGAAATGCGAGCCACAATTACCGGCAAATTGCAAGGTAAGACAGAATCGTCATAGTCATAAATTTAGAGGCTTATAAAAAGCGGCAATAGGTTAACAAATCTAATGGGAAAGAAAAAAATTAAAACCGAAGAAATAAGTGAATACTGCAGCGCGAATAACACACATATTTAACTATTCGCATATGACGACATTGTCCTCCTTTTTTAATTTTCTTTAAAAGTTCGGTATTTGTTTACTGTCTACGGCAATATTCCCGATAACAAAGCTAGACAGCTTTCATATTCTAAATACAAAAATAGATTTATACCTGAAATATATACATATTTGGAAATAGCATAAAATTTTAGCTTAAGTTTGGATTTGTTCGAATTGGTCACCTTTGGCACGAATTATGGCCTTCAAATGGCCAATGAAACCGTAACACGCTGCCCGAATGTTGCTCTGCAGTATTTTGGCCCATTCCTGGCGAAGCTCTTGCTTGAGGTGATCGACACTTTGGTATTTTTTAGTGCCAACCTTGCTTTCCAAAATACTTCAGATACAATAGTCCAACGGATAGGTATCCGGAGATTTTGGTGGCCATTGTGCACTTGAAATGAAGCGAGGAACCTCATTTTGTAACAATTTATGGGTGGCGCGTGCTGAGTGCAATGGTGCTGAGTCCCGTTGGAATGACCAAGGTCTGCGGCCAAAATGTTTGCGTGCCCAAGCCTTTAATACACCCTCCAGAATATTTTCGCGATAATATTCGGCATTTATTCTGATGCCAAGGTCGATTAATACAAACGGAGAGCGACCATCGGCTGTTATGGCGGCCCACACCTGCACCATGGCCGGCGCTTGAGTTTTGGTGGCCAACCGAAGGTGCACATTTTCAGCTGACCTCTTTAGCAAGTAAACACGATCATTGTGTTTGTTTACAAACTGCAGGACAATGAATGTTTTATCATCGGAGAAAACCAAATTCGGTAGTTCACCACTTTCGGCTAAATGAAGCAACTCTTTAGCTCTTTCGAGTCTATTTTCTTTCTGTTGCGGTGTAAGTTCTTGTACTTTTCGGAATTTCAATGGCTTTACCCCGACCTCATTTTTCAATATTTGTCGAATGGAATATTTCGATATGTTCAGCTCACAAGCCATTTTTCGGCCACTGCGATGCGGGTTTCGATGAAGTCGCTTCTTTAGTTTTCTAACCATTTCTGCTGATGTTGCTGTTTTCTTCCGTCCACTTCCTTGATGTCGGTCACGGTAACGAACGATGGTACGAGACATAAAAGATTTATTCACATTTAAATGCTGGAGTGCTCTAAAGATATCCACTTGTGGTTTTCCAGCCAAATATAAAGAAATCACACTATCACGCTTGAATTCCATCACGAATAACTTTTTTTCTTCAAGTCGAGAATCTGATGTCATGTATGTTGCCGCCGCAGTTTATTGTCAATTGAGCCCTTTTTATGGCATTTTCCATCACTTTGGCCAAAACTTCCGGCGATAGGTTCTCACATTCTTGACGGATATTGTCTTTAAAAGCTGAAAGAGTCTGAGGCCGGCGACTTAAAAAAAGCCCCACAAAAAGAAGTCTCGAGTGGTCACATCAGACGATCCTGCTGGCCAGTATAAATCGCTAAGACGGGAGATGAGGCGCCCGGGAGACCGCCACTTAAAAAAAAAAAAACACAAAAATGTCTCGAGCGACATTAGGCGATCTTGCTGGCTAGTGTAAATCGCCAAAACGGGGATAAGGCCGTCCCTGTGCGTGTGGCGAAACATTGCATGTATAGGTCCACGTTTTGGTATAGCCCCCATATTAAGGTACCTCCCGATATTCGGTATTTTAATGGTTTTTGACACATTTTTTCACTGATTTGTCTAAAAATTGGTATTTGTGGGTCATAATGGGTCCTAGTTCGTGTGGCGAAACATTGTATGTATAGGTCCACGTTTTGATATAGTCCCCATATAACGGTACCTCCCGGTATTCGGTAATTTGATTATTGTTGCCACATTTTTTCATGGATTTGTCTGAAAATTGGTATTTGTTGGTCATAATGGGTAAATAAATAAATCGTGTAGATCCACGATTTGGTATAGTCCCCATATAACGGTACCTCCCGATATTCGGCATTTTAATGGTTTTTGCCACATTTCTTCTAATGTTTCCTTTACCCTAAGGTGGAGGGTATTAAAAGTTTGGCCCGCCGGAACTTTATGTTTTTTTACTTGTTAAAATTCACGCCGCTTTCTTATCTATTTTGCAGTTTTATTAGCATTTGAAGTTTCATGTATGTCACCTATCTTCACTTCCGTGGTGTATTCACGTGTTTCAAACGTGTTCCTGTTATACAGGTGAACTATATTTAGTTGCCCTGACTTGATAAGACAGTGTTTTTAGTTTTAGTTTTTTTTTTCGATATCATTGACTACTTCACTCAAATGCTAAGATTGTGCACTGACGGTGCACAAAATCGTTTTGTGGTTTAATTATATTTTTTCATTTCAGAATTTCAGCTTTTTAGTTTACCCCATTAACGAATTCAGTACCGTTTATAGTGCGCATATTCAAAGCTAGCTCCTTCTCTCAATAAGAGATACCAACAGTGATATTCATATCAAATTTTAGGATTTCAGTTGTATATTCCTTCATCCAATACAATATTTGGTACTATTTGGTACTTTTCGTACAATTATAGTACACATTTCTGATACCATATTTACATATCCTGGTTAAACATCAACACCGACCCTAATACCAAATTTCAGATTTCAAGCACTATCTATTGACTCAATACCAAATTGAGAGAACTATTTAGTACTTTTCGTACAATTATAGTCCACATTTTAAAAAACCACTTTAATATCTCAATTACAGATAGCAACAGAGGCCTCATTATGAATTTGAGGATTCCAGCCCTATCACTTTACACAATCCCAAATAAATTACATTTAGTACTTTTAGTACAATTTGGGACGAAATTCAAAACCACCGCTAAATTTCAAACACAGATACCATCAGTTATCTAAATATCAAATTTAATAATTTTATATCCATCTCTCAGAATTCAGAATTCCAAGTCGATCGGTTCTACCAAAATTTAAATTGTACCATATTTAGTTTCAAAATTTCCTGCATATCCCAATCCTACCCTCCGACAGTAACCCAATGCCGAAATTTAGTATTCCTGCTCTATCGGTTCAACGAAATCCAAATTGTACTAAATTTTGTACCATTAAGTACAAATGAGTGCGATTTTCTAAAATTTCTTGTAATGCTTAATCCTACAAAACAATAGTTATATTATTTTAAGATATCAGGATTCCAACTCTATCGGCTCTCCCAAAATTTAAATTGTATCAAATTTAGTACCACTTAGTATACATATGTACGACTTTCCAAAATTTCCTACATACCCCAATTCTAAACTCCCACAGTAATCTGAATTCCAAATTGTAGTATTCCAGCTCCATCGGTACACCCAAATCCAAGGTGTACCATTTAGTACGACATAAGTACGACTTCCCAAAATGTCCTACATACCCCAATCCTAAAATACAATTGTAATGTTTTTTTCAAATTTTACGATGCCAACTTGATCGGTTCTCTCCAAATTTAAATTGTACCAAATTTGGTACCATTTAGTCCAAAATGTCCCATATACCTCAATCCTACAATGCAATAGTAATTTTATATATATTTTTTAATAATTTTATGGCAGTTGTATCGGTTCACACAAATCGAAATTGTACCAAATTTAGTACCATTTAGTACACATAAGTACGAATTTCGAAAAACTACATCAGTACTACAATGCAAGTAATCTACAGTACTACAAGTAGTAATCTTATTTCCGATTTTAAGCAATCCATCGCTTTTTTTCGCATACATGAGTACATACTTTCCGTTTGTAACACCTCGAAATATACATTTTAGACCCCACAAAGGGGCCATGTAGGTTCACGTATATATATTCTTGATCAGCAAAAAATTCTATGTCGATTTAGCAATGACCGTCCGTCTGTCCGTCTGTGGAAATCACCCTAGCTACGAAATGAAGTAAGTTGATTTGCAGGACTTTTGTAGGTCCACGTCTTCGTATAGCCCCCATATAACGGTACCTCCCGATATTCGGTGTTTTGATTCACCGGAATTGTTCCAAATTCAGTATTTGGAGGTCGTAATAGATACTACAGCATAAGACAGAAAATGGGCCATGTAGGTCCACGTCTTCGTATAGCCCCCATATAACGGTACCTCCCGATATTCGGTATTTTGATGATTTTAGAGACATTATTTACCGGAACTATTTCAAATTTGGTATTTCAAGGTCGTAATGGATACTACTGCCCATGACAAAAAATTGTCTATGATGGTAGACGTCTTCGTATAGCCACCATATAACGGTACCTCCCGATTTTCGGTATTTTGATGATTTAAGCGACATTATTTACCGGAATTGTTTCAAATTTCGCATTTGAAGTTCGTAGTTGATACTACATCCTATGCCAGAAAATTGTCTGTGCAGGTCCACGTCTTCGTATAGCCCCCATATAACGGTACCTCTCGATATTCGGTATTTTGATAATTTTAGCGATATTATTTACCGGAATTGTTTCAAATTTCGCATTTGAAGCCTATGACTAAAAATTGTCTGTGCAGGTCAACCTTTTCGTATAACCCTCATATAAATGTACTCGCGATATTCGATATTTTGATGATTTAAGCGACATTATTTACCGGAATTATTTCAAATTTGGTATTTGAAGTTCGCAATGGATGCTACAGCCTATGAGAGAAATTGTCTGTGCAGGTCCACGTTTTATAACCTCCATGGTACCTCCCTATATTCGGTATTTTGATGATTTAGCTACATAATAAACAGATTTTTTTCAAGTTTCGCATTTGAATATTGTAATGGCTTATGACAAAAGTTACCTATGCAGGTCAATGTCGTCGTACAGACCCTAATATACGGCTACATTCGCTATTTTTAAGATTTTAACAGAATTTTTTACAAATTTTATTTTTTTGAAAATTGCCAAGCTTGTATCAAATGGTTGAGGTTATTCAAAGTTCGGCCCGGCCGAACTTACAGCTTTTTTATTGTTTTTAATAAATAAATAAATTTTTATAGATCCTCGTTAAGGGTGCAATTAAGTCAATTATGAAATATTAAAAATCAAATAAATCCAAATACGATAAAATTGATAACATTCAATATGCCTATAACCATTTGTATTTTATGTTTTTTTTTTTTTTCAGTTACGTTATTCGGTACGTTTGAACTGTCGTAAAGGTGTTTACGACTACATGCCCCATCCGCAGAAGTGTGAATATTATTATTACTGTCTCAATGGTTTTCTGATGATCCTGCGTTGTCCTCACGATTTTCTCTGGCATTACGAGCGACGAACGTGTGTCCATAAATCGCTGGCAAAATGCTACACAGAATCATCGATACTGATGACGTCACAGCAACAGGTTGTCTATCGACATCGTAATTGAAAATACGTGAAAAAACTATTTAAACACTAAAGAATTTTGGCAGTTTTATTTTAATAAAAAAAATTTTGAAAATTTGAAATCCAATACGATTTAAAATTTTGATATAAAAAATTCTTTAATATTTTAATAATGTAATAATCTCTTTTTTAATTCGAAAAAATATTTTTTTTTAATATTAAAGTATTAATAAATTATATTTTAAAAATATATAAGTAAAAATAAAAATATATCGCAATATTCTATTCGCAAATATTGAAAAATGAGCTCGGGGTGAAGCCATTTAAATTCCAAAAAGTGCAGGAACTTACACCGCAACAGAAAGAAAATATACTCAAAAGAGTTAAGAGTTGCTTCGCTTGGCCGGAGGTGGTCAACTGCCGAATTTGGTTTTCTCCGATGAGAAAACATTCGTTGATCGTGTTTACTTGCCAAATAGGTCAGCTGAAAATGTACACCTTCGTTTGGCCATCAGAACTCAAGCTCCGGCCATGGTGATGGTATGGGCCGCCAAAACAACCAATGGTTGCTTTCCGCTCGTATTAATCGACGTGGCATCAGAATTAATGCCGAATATTATCGCGAAAATATTCTGGAGGGTGTATTAAAGCCTTGGGTACTCCAACAGGATTCAACACCATCGCACTCAGCACTTGCTACAAAAGGATGTTTTCAAAATAAGATTCCTAGCTTCATTTCCAGCGCACAATGGCCACCAAAATCGGATCGGATACGTATCCGTTGGACTATTGTGTCTGGAGTATTTTGGAAAGCAAGGTTGGCACTAAAAAATACCAAAGTGTCGATCACCTCAATCAAGCGCTTCGCCGGGGCCAAAATACCGCAGAGCAACATTCGGGCAGCGTGTGACGGTTTCATTGGCCGTTTGAAGGCCATAATTTGTGCCAAAGTTGACCAATTCAAAAAAAAAAAAAAAAAAAAAAAAAAAAATTGAAGCTATTTCCGACATTTTCCTTTCAGTCAATTAAATTTAAAAAAAATTTAAAAATTATGACGTTTGACTTTGTTGCAGATTTTTTTTATCTCACCCTGTATGTTCAACCGATTTCGGGTTAATTGTGCACTAAATGACCAATAACAGTCCAAATGACCTGCACTTTAACACATTCCAGCGAATTCAGTCTAGAAGTAAGCAAGTACTTGAAATTTGGAGAAAATCGGTTCGGACATAGCTATAGCTTCCAAATATATATTTCATCGGATTTGAGGTTTTAACCCTCATATGCGTAATATGTAATCCACAGGAATGATATTTGGTCAGAAATACCTCTGCCAAATTTTATCGAGATCGCTTCAGATTAGGATATAGCTTCCATAATTATATTTATCCCATTTGGAATTTTAAGCCTCTCATATGCGTTAATGCATTCGATAACAACGATCTTTGGAACAGATTTGGTAAAAATCGGTTCAGATATAGCTCCCATATCTATGTTTCCTCCGATTTGGCGGTAAAGTCCCTCACATACGTAATATGCCCTCCACAACAATAATCTTTGGTACCAGTTCAGAAATAAGTGTTTAAAATTTTGTCAAGATCGGTTCAGATTTGTATATCTCCCATATATATCTTTATCCGATTTTGATTTTTTGTGAGCCAAATGACCGATATCAGCTCAAATGGACCACTTCCGGTTTTTGTGAAAATCGGCTCCCATATGTATGTTTCGTCCGATTTGGAGTTTTAAGTACCCCACACATGCGTAATTTGCACTCCACAACAATGATATTTGATACTCGGCATCAGATACTGCTCGAAAAAACCTATGCCAAGTTTTTTCGGTTTTGCTGCGTACATCTATTTCACATAAATTCCCAATATGACTTTAATTTATTAAAGTATTAATATTGGTCTGTTCCCGAACAGCTAGAATACTTTTTACATTTTTACCTCCGACTTCCCAAATGGGCAATACAAGTCCGAATTTAAGAGATATAAATGCTTCGGCATATTTAGTCCTTTGAACTTTAAATTATAATTATAATCATAGCGTGTATGATTGAATTCTCCCATAAAAACTTTTGAATCTTATGCGGAGCTCTACAAAATTAGCAAAGAGGTGTAGGGTATCATAAAGTCGGCTATGTCAACTTTAAGACTTTCTTTACTGGTATTTTTATTATTTTTAATTGTAATTTTTAATTACCCTTTTTTAATTATTTTTTTATGATTTTTAAACTGTAATTATAACATCCCGTTTCACTGCATGGATTTCGTTTTAATTATCGATTTCTTATTATCGATAACATTAATTTCCCTCTTAACCAAATGAATGAAACCGAAATGCATCTGCCTGAAAGTATGCTTTAAATTTTGTATAGATCAACCAATGTCCCCAACAAATGTACAAGTTAACAGCGTGACAAGTAATTAAAGTAATTTTTAATATTATGTGTAAAAAGCAACAACAGCGGCAACAACATCAAATTAATATTTAATTAAAATTTATATATTTGTGTGCGTGTGTGTTTGAATATTTCGTTTTGTTTTATTTATTTAAAATGATTTCTGTGAATCTTTCGGTCGTGGACTGACTGTGTGGCATATTTGTATATCCCTGTGTGTGTGTGTGTAAGAGAGTGTGTAACATTGTCGATAAAAGGTGGCGGGTGTAATGTAACATTTAATTTGTATTTATTTAACATTACCCGCACAAAATAGCAGGTGAATACTAAAATGTGTAATATCGAAATGCGTTAACCCATTGGGGGGAATTATATTTTGGGCCTGTAGTGTAAATGTGAAATTAAAGAGAAAAATATCAAAAAAAAAAAAATAAATAAAATATTAATAAAAGAGTAAAGTAATTGACTGACTGACTGACTGACTGACTGACTTAATGATTCGTCAACGCTCAGACGAAACGACTAAAAGGTGATAAATATGGTACCCTTTGTAGCGGTAGCATTAGAATTCTTAAATTTTGAATTAGGGTAATTGATAGGGTGTATGATAGATGTATCAAAAGGTTTTTGAAACTCGCACTATAAGTTTGTGAAAAGTACTACAATGTACTACATTTGGTACCATTTTGTATCATGTGAAAGGTTAGATCTAAAAATTTTGGAAATTTGGAATGGGAATCAATGTTGAGAAGTAGAGTCGATGTGAGGAGGAAGTGTGTACTCATGTGTACGAAAAGTACTTAACGGTACTAAATTTAGTACAATTTGAATTTGGAGGAACGGATGGTGCTGGATTCCTTAAATTTGAAATTAACACTACTGGCGGGTATAGGATTGGGGTATGGAGATAATTCTCAAAATGTGTACGAAAAGTACTAAATAGTACAAATTTGGTACAATTTGGATTTGTGTGAACCGATAGTGTTGGAATCCTTAAATTTGGACATAAGATTACTTTGCATTGTTAGAATGGGGTATGTAGGTAGTTTTGAAAATTTGTACTTATGTGTACTAATTTGTACTAAATTTGGTACAATTTAAATTTTTGTGAACCGCAGAGTTGGAATTCTGAAATTTTAAAATAAGATTTCTATTGGGCCGTATGATGTAGGTAGTTATGAAAAATTGTATTAAAGTGTACTGAATGGTATAAAATTCGGTACAGTTTGGATGTAGGTGAACCAATCGAGCTTGTATGCAGAAAATTGGAAATAAGATTATTGTTGGAGTGTAGGATTGGGTTGTGTAGTACTATATTTGGTATTGCATGAAGGGATAGGGATGGTATCTGCACTTGAAATTTGATGGTGGTTTGGAAATGCGTTCTATATTTGTATGAAAAGTACTAAATGGTACTAAAATTGTGTGAAGGAAAGGGCTGGAATCCTGAAATTTGATATTGAGGTCTCTGTTGACATTTGGAATTGAGATATTTGAAGTGGTTTCGGAGAAGTGTACTATAATTGTACGAAAAGTATGAAATAATACTAAATTTTGTATTGTGTGACGGGACAGAGATAAAATTCTGAAATTTGAAACTTAGATAACTGTTGGTATCTGAGTTAGAGATTTGGATGTACATTTGGAAGGCTGAAGGAATGGAGCTGAAACTGTGAAATATTATATTGCGATAGCTGTTGGTGTCTAGGATTATGATATGGAACGGTTTTACAAATAAGTACTAAAATTATACGAAAAGTACTAAATGTTACTAAATTTTGGTATTGAATAAATGTATAGAGCTAGGATCCCGAAAGTTGATATTCAGATTTCTGTTGATATCTGGTGATGTTGGTTGTTGCAAATGAGTACGATTATTGTTCGAAAAGTACCAAATGGTACTTAATTTGATATTAGGTGAAGGGATAGACCTGGAATCACGAAATTCATATTGAGATCTCTGTTGGTATCTGTAATTGAGATATGGGTGTGGTTTTAGAAATGTGTACTATAATTGTACGAAAAGTACTAAAGAGGACAAAATTTGAATCATGGTCTATATTAGTTATAAATATTCATAAGGTTAGTATTGGGCCAAGAAATAGATTCGAAATTCTTAAATTTGATATAGACTTCACTGTTGGTTCCTAGGGTTTACATATGGAGACGTAGAAGGAGTTTTAAACAGAAAATTTGGAAGTAGGATCATTGTGCAATGGTTTTACAAATATCCTCCTCGGTAAACTTTAAAATGAAAGATTTTGAAAAAAGGTAGGTAAGTTTTTCCCATTTTTTCCGAGAAAGGAAAAACTTGAATAATATGTATATGAAACCTTGAAAGTCTGAATATTTAGAACTATATGCGAAGTTTTCATAAAACATAGAACACGAATCCAACTCCAGCCCCTATTTTAAATTTTCTTCAATAACAAGTAAAAAAGCTGTAAGTTCGGCCACACCGAACTTTGAATACCCTCCACCTTTTGGAACGAATTTGGTAATTCTCAAAAACAATAAAATCCCTTAAAAATTCAGTTAAAATCTTAAAAATATCGAATGTAGCTATTATATTAGGTTCTATACGACGACATGAACCTGCGTAGGTAACATTTGTCATAAGCCATTACAATATTCAAATGCGAAACTTAAAAAAAATCGGCTATAATGC